TATGAGGATTGCCAAGTATTACAGAGGGAATTCACTGAAGGACAGGCCGCAGGACTTTACATCCAACATAGCTCCCTGGCAAGGTGACAAAAATGTTCTCATAAACTGCAAATTACGAGGTCAGGGCTCAATAAATATTTGCCGAAACTTGTAGATGAGTGAAAATAAGATAACATGGAGTAAGCCCGCCACAAAAAGAATGGAATTCAAGGTCCCCTCTTGTTGAGCCTTAAGCACAACTCCTTACTTGAATCACTTAGCCCTTGACACCCCTGGGGTAAGTATCAGTGTCCTGACCTTGAAGATAGTGGCCCAATAATGTTAAGTGTTTTCCTAAGGTCACAGAGTTAAAGTCACATATGGGATCACTAACTGCCAAGTCCTTGCACCAAGGTGCCACGCCACCAAACCTAACCCCTCTCTGTATGTGGAGAGCAGTGCACATCAAGACCTCACGTGAGAGCTTGGGCTTGGGGACAATGCACATCTTTCCTTTAGTCTTTCTATTTGCACATGCTCAGCTTCTGGGAGGGGGGCTCCTAAGAAGTTATACAATATGCTTTTTATAGTTGCGTTCCAAATCATAATTATTCATTCCTTTCTTAAATGAAACAAAGACTTTGGTTTTAGAATGACTTTAATTAATGCAATTTTAACAGGACTGTTCAAAATCCAACACCGCAGGTAAAACTCTTGCTTTGATCCTCCGGCTTCATGCCTTTTAAAACCCAATCAATCCCACCACGATGATGTTTTTCAATGGTAGGTGAGCACCATCTGTGGACTTTAGAGATGCTTCTCTCCTTGCTGACTCCAGAATGGAGTCGGTCCAAACCACAAGATGTTTCCCAAAAGCAAGACCCGGCTGGGTGGACCCAGCAATGCCAAACCATGAGCACCATCTGGTCATTTGAAGTGTGACATAAACGGAGGTCGTTAGACAGAATCGGCATTCTGAGGATGCTGGCTCAGGTGTACGGAAAGGAAACCATCAAGCAAGCAGTGCGAGTAACAGGAAACAGAAACCTAGCAGAGGAGTCATGATGCGTCAGCCACAGCCTCTGGATGTTTTGTTTGGAGATGTCTGGAGGTGAGAGATGCAGACAGAACAGGTGTTTAGTAGGGGTGCTGTGTCCTACTCTAGGTAAGGGGGTGGAAACAGGTGTTGGTGACAAGGTTAAATGAACATGGAGGAGGTGTCACAGCATGATTTTCATCGGGAATCATGCCCAGGGGTCTCTAACTCTCCACATTGATCCACAGGATTCAGGAAAAGAAAAAATCCTTTAAAAACATCCTGGGACATGGCACTGCCCATCCAGCCTCCTGTGGACACAGCCACTTCCTAACAGGAGACCCCAGACCCTCTCATGGCTGGTGCTTTTGTTCCTCAATCTCAACTCAAATGCCACCTCCCTAGAGTCCTCAACAGTGATGCTCACTCACAGCCAAGGAAGGTGTAGTGTGAGCCGACTTTTATTTTTTTAATAATGCAAGGGCCTGACTTAAGCTTTTGATTGTGCAGACATCCACTTCAAAGACAGCCATCTCTGAAATAAACACATTGCCAGCCACATGACTTGGTAAAGAGCCCCCCCCCCATTGAGGTCCCCTTGTTTTAGAGGTCTTGGTTGATTTCGGTAACTGACCATTTGGGCTGCTTATTATTTTTTCCCTCTTCTCATGCTTTAAATGCCTGTTCCTATGTTTTAAATTCACCATTAAAGAGTGAGCCTTCAAAACCCTAGGCCCCCACCTCCAACCCCAGCAAAAGAAGCACCCCAGGCCCATGCTCTCTCTCTACCTGAGACCTCACTGTATGTAATTTCTTGTAAATAATAAACCTGTGTTTTTTCAAAATTTCCTGATGGTTATTTCTGAAGGATGTCTTGCAATCATAATGAGAACCACAAGGGCTGGTCCATACCCTACATTGGCTATTGATAGGCGGAGAGAAGTCCAAAACACACAGTCATGGGTACACCTCCCCAACGTAATTCTCAGCAAAAACAATGCCAACCACAGAATAAGTCTAAAGAAGTCTAATAGAGTTCTAATTTTTCACATGTGGACTACTCTAAATGTTTCTTTTGAATTATCAAATATTAAATTCTATCACTGAATATTTTGGAACTCTTACTAAATACCAAGTCTGCCTCCTGCATGACCAACGTAGTTTGTTACTCTCTGACACTGTTTTCTGAACCCTTACGCCTTGACTTGATGGTCTCTCCCACTAGACTTCAGGCTCCAGGAGAGTCTGTCTTCATTCCCCAGATATAATACAGCTCCCAGCAGGTGGGGCCCATTACATTTTTGTTGATAAATGAACAAATGCCCCTCTCTCCTCTTTTCTAGTGGGCTCTGGTCTTCACCCTAAAGTTGAGTGTCCCAAACAGAGGCTGGAAGAATGGACCCAGTTACGGTGGGTGGAGAAAAGGCAGGAGAAACTGGGGGCTCCAGGGCTCTGCCGCTATCAGTTCACAGTATGCTCTCCTGGCTCGGAGAGCCTCCTCTGATGAAATTCTGTAAGGAACACCCTGAAGTCAGCTTAGCTTGGAGGAGCCTGCACACAGAAAAGGGTCTGTTTCCTGACCAAGGGACTGCCTAGACCCCGGGAGGTTGTTGGGGGTCTCTGCTCTTGGTCATAAGTGATGGCACAGAGCATCACAGGACCCTAGAGGGCTCCTCTCTCAGGGCAGGTTCTTGAGAGTCCACTGGGCAGAGAAGTGAACAAAGCAGGGTTCTGTCTGCCTGGCACTCTGGGCACCCTGCCACTCTAGCCTCAGACTGAGAGAGAGAGGGAGAGGGGAGAAGGGTACAGGGAGAAAAGCCTGGATGCTGGCTTCCTGGGAGGCTTGATCAGCCAGATGACAATCGGAATTAGCATCAGAACACCTTGATAAAAGGAAGGAAGAAAGAGCTGAATCCCTGAATGAAAAATAGATTATTCACTGTCAGGCTGAACAATGGAACAAGACACAAATAGCAGCAGTGCCCAGAACATGCCAATTTTGCTCAAAAGTGGTGTGCAAGGTGCTTCAACAGCCCTCCAGAGAGCTCAGTGCCGCCAAGTTGTGCTCTGAGCAGGTGGACAGAGAGAGAGGTGGGAGGTGGGGAGAAGGGGAGAGAGAACACCAATGTCTTCTCAAAGCTGGGAAGCATGTGGGTGTTAAAGTCAGAGATTTGAATTAGGTAGACCAAAAAGAGGGGTTCTATGGAAAGTAGCCTCACAGGGTGACCTGATCATAAATTCCTCACTGGGCAGGTCATGGTGGGTAGTCACGCCCGAGGCCTACCTGTAACTTCTTTAGTCAAAGGTTTTTAAGCCAGCCCTGTCCATTGTTCTTGTGCATCTAGGTTAAGACACCTTTGAAACATCAGATGTAATACCCCTCGAAGAGGGTATTAGCCCTTGAGTACATAATCTTATTAACTATCCTGTTATCCAATCCCTGCCTTGCTTTCCCTGACCTCTATGTAATCTTCCTTTCGTCCCTCCTTAACTTCAAATGCATAGAAGAAGCTGCAAAACTGTTATTTTCGGGAGCATTTGAGATCTTGCTCCCTGGCATATGTTGTCAGTTTGGCTCAAATAAACTCTTATACAAATTCTCTACAGGCTTGGCCATTTCTTACGTGGACAATAGGCTCCAACTATTTCCCTGGGAACCTTGGCAGTTGTGAAGATAAAGCATACTGTCAAAGCCCTCAGTACAGATAACTAATCAATGAGAGCTGCTTCACTGCCCCCAGGTAGAAGTGGATTCTTCAAGGGCTTCACGCTGCAGCTCCCAGCATAGCACAGGAAGAGTGTGTGAGTGTGAAAACAAGGAAGGAGGGAGCCCCACAAATGAGAATGGGGCACATCTGTCATGGTTGGGAAGGGACCATGAAGGCGTAAGGGCGGTCGCCTCTGTCCTTTGATGCTTTATGATCTCCCCTCACTCTCTTAGGACAACGCCACTGGTAAATACTGTTTAGTTTGTTACCAGCCAGGGACCCTCTCATCAAGACTGACCTAACCACTTCAGATGGCCCCAAGCACACCTGTCCACCCTCCCTCTGGTGCTCTAGAAGATAGGGCAGTGACATGCTGATTTCTGGACCCACCCATCACTTCCCTGTGACCTGACAGGGGTCTTTGCAGCAGTTTCCCTTGGTAGTTTTCCTGTGGGTCCTGGAAAGACTTCATTCCTTTGCCCCTAAGTTTACCACTTAGACACCAAGACTCAGGTTATGGAGGGTCCTGCTCCAAGAAGGAGTGCCCTGTCAGCCCTTGGGTGCAGATACATGTCAGGCTGCATGCCATCTCATTCCAGTCAACTAAACCTCTTCAGGAGGTAGAAACAATTACATTCCTGAAACAGCATAGGGACTTGGGCCCAGCTGAAGGAATGCGGGATGGCCAGGAGGAACACCGGATAAACTGACCACAAGAATGCCACCACTCCATCACTCCCTACACAAAAGTGCAGAAGTAGCTGATTATTATCTCCGTTCTAACAGTTTACTTGCAAGTCGAAACCACTATTCCGTATGCGTAGTGCATACGGCATTCCTGGGGGCGATAATGAGCAGTTCACCATCTTGCTCCACAGCGCAGGCGCACACATGGTTACCAGGCAACCTAAAGGTTAACGCCTGCCACTTTCAAAAAGCCTGCTATTTTCAAAAAGCCCGCCTTTTCGCACAAGCCCACTTTGTCCCTAGCTTATAAAAGCAGCTTAAGTCAGCCCCCAAGTCAGTTCAGAAGTCTGTGCTTCTTCCCTTGTGCTCAAGCATAAGCTTAATAAAATTTGGAAGTTTTTCTGGGGTTTCCTCTCAATTTCTATCTTGGGGAGCCAAGAGCCCCAACACGAGTAACATTCCCACTTAGGGAGGCGCAGCGGGGAAGGGCAGATCTCAGCACCGAGCAGGATTCACATCAGCAGGAAGGTGCCCCAGGCGCCTGGCTGGGAATTGCTGTGGGACGACTGTGCTCACAAAGGCCACCTTACCTTGCTGAAACTCAGACAGTCCTTGTCCTGGTCTTGGTCCTTCATCTCGAAGTCATACAGGGCTTTGCCTTGGGGAGGGGCGGGCGGCAAAGGCCGGAGGCACTGCACGTAGCTGGCTGGCAGGAAGCCTTGCACGCCGTGCAGCTCCCCGTGGAACCAGTTCTCATCCACCCTTCGCCGCAGGATGATGACGTCGCCCTTGTTGAACTTGAGATCACCAGGTTCTTTCCCCTCGTAACTGTAGAGGGCTTTGCCGTATGGAAGCTGGGAAGGATTCTGAAAGCAAAACACAACATCAGTTACTCAGCACTGCCTTCCAGCTGCCTGGGTGGCCTGGAGTATGGAGCGCCCATGTCCTCGGGGCACATGCACAATGCCCTGCCCTCCAAAGAGAAGTATTTCAAAGAAATAGACACCTTGTCACAGAAATCCACAAGTCCCTGGCCCTGCCTAGACAAGAGGGTCTATAAGAGCGCCCCCATGAGGTGAGGTAGGGGCCAGGCACTGTCCTGGGCCTTGTGCTGCGCTAATTCATCCTGTGCCGAAAAGGACTCCAAAGCAGGAGCTAAATCATTTACAGGTGAGGGACCTGAGGCCCAGGGAGAGAGAGAAGGTAACTGGCCCAAAGCCCCACATCTGTAAGGGTAGGGCAGGATCCCTACATAGGTGGTCTAGCTCCAGAATGTTCTCACCCACTACTCTGTGCTTAATCGTCTGCCATTTCTATCTGCCAGATTTCCAACAGTTATCACCCAACAAAAATGTCCTTACTTCATCTCTGAACCTTCACAGTAACTCAGATCATGCCTCAAGGGAGTTTACAAGTTCAGGCAACAGACTTGCACAGACTGTGCTGTGCCCTTCCCTCTTACGGCCTCACAAACAGTGGCATATCCCTGTGATGTCCAGCCCCAAGGGACAGCCTGGCTGTGGAAGGTGGAGGCCACCCTTAGGACCTTGGTCCCCAATGCAACACTGGAATTTCTAACATGTGGTCGCCAGCTGTCACAGAACCCGATCATGACTCATAGCTTTTTGATGCCTGCATCAGTCTGGTCCAGAAGTACAATTTCAAGAGCATAAAATAGTATCCTCTTAATGTCATGGAATATTCCTGTCACCCTGTCAAATGTTAGCTAACCCTTCCAAAAGGGATCTACCATCTTTGGTCTCAAACAGAAACCCAAAGAGAATTCTTGGCAACCTTCCGCTCTTCAGCATTAAGGAGCCTGTCAAACTACCCTGAAACTTGATGTCATCATCCACTTCCTGGGCTCCTCTAACTTAACTGGACCTATTTCATAAAGACCAGTGGCTGCCTGGGTTTCTCTTCCTCTTCTTTACAGGTGGCCAACACCCACTCAACTGAGTAAGCTTTGCCAAAGGCCAATTCTTTGCTAGAGGAAAACTAAACAAAAACCTTACCACCGTGCCCACGCCAACACCCAACAATTTTCCTAACAGAAGCCACATTTTCTCACCAGGGCTGTCTATGCCAGGGATTTCTTTAGTCTTTCCATCAGTCAGTACAGGCAGAAAAGCCTGAAGCAAGAATACATGGAAAAGCTCTTTGTAGAGGACTTAATAGCATGTTGGCAACTCAGTCACTTTGCATTTATGTTTCAGCAATATCAAACGACAGTGGTTAAGAGACAACCTGCTGGCAAATTGACAAACAGCCACACCAATTAAATAGTAACACCAGAGGATTTGCAGAACTCAACGGGGAAAAAAAAAATCAGTTGGCGTCCAATAATACTTATCCTGGCTAGCTTTGTACTGTATGAACAATAGACTGTAACAGGCCCTGATTTTAGAGAGCTGAGGCAAAGGGGTAATTTACAATCCAAGTGCAGCGATCAGAAAAGAAAGGAAGAGGCTGTTGGCCATGGGCTTCCAGAAGAATTCCACTGTCACACAAGGGCCAGTCAGCCCCTAGCCCAGGGGTTCCAAATCAGGGACAATTTTGTCCCCCAGGGGACATTTGGCAATGTCTGAAGACATCTTTGGTGTCACAACTGGGAGGTGGGATGTTATGGGCATCTAATGCATAGAGACCAGGGATCCTACTAAACATCCTACAATGCACAGGACAGCCCATCTCCCTCCCTCTACCTCCCCCTCCACCCTGCCCCCACTACAAACATTTGCCTACCCAGAATGTCAGAATGTCAATAGTGCCAGGGCCGAGAAAGCCTGCTCCAGCCTGTTAGATAAAATTTACAAAAAGACAGTGTAGCTTTCTTGTTCTATTTGAATTTAGTATATCACAACTTTAAAAATTAAATATGAAGTCTGACAATTACGTTCGCAAAGTCATCCTATATAGAAAAAGTACTACATACCTCATTACTGAATATCACTACATTCACCTTCTAAGTACTCCCTTTGGGAAGCTATGCATCAATGCCAGCACCTAGTCCACCCTTCAAAGCAATTTTGAAACTCTTTTTCTGGAATGGCCATCAGAGCTGTTGTCGTATTACCCTTGATGTCCTGAATGTCATTAAAGTGTCTTCCTTCCAATATTTCCTTTATCTTCAGGTAAAGAAAGAAGTTATTGGGGGCCAGATCAGGTGATTAGGGAGGGTGTTTCAATACAGTTATTTATTTACTGGCTAAAAACTCCCGCACAGACAGTGCCATGGAGCTGGTGCATTGTCGTGATGCAAGAGCCATGAATTGCTGGCAAAAAGTTCAGGTTGTTTCCATCTAACTTTTTCACGCAGCCTTTTCAGCACTTCCAAATAGTAAACTTGGTTAACTGTTTGTCCAGTTGGTATAAATTCTTAATGAATAATCCCTCTGATACCAAGTTCGCAAACTTAATTGTCAGACCTCATATAACATTTATTTCTGTGATGGAAGTATTTTCACTGGTGACCACATGGAGAAGTTGATACCCCCATCGAGGGAGGATGTGTTAAAGGGATAGAAGAAAAAAACTTACTGTTAATCTTGAAAACTGGCCTCAACTAGATGCACAAAAGAAAACGTCACTTTGTCACACACAGACTCCATTTCCTTTGGTCCCCAGACTAAGAGGGCCATGCTCAAAAGCAATATGCTAAGAGCCATTGACTCTGAGGCTGTTTGGTCATTTTTGTCACTATGGTCAATGGAGAACAAGAATGGCCAGATGTGCACTTTCGATGCTCTGTCTCCCTCTGTACACCTTCATGTCATGTGACACACACACCTCCCCCTTACCCTGTGTGGAGAGGACACTGGCATTTCCACTCTGGTCTGCCCACCACCAGCTCTGCTAGCTCTGTTGCCACACAGCACACTCCCAAGCACCACTTACATGTATGTCATACAAGCCTGGACCAACTTGCTCAGTGTGGCAGGTCAGGACCTGGCTGTAGTGAAGAGAGAGACCCAGGTACTACCCACGCAGGTGGCCTGGCAGCAGGACTGGTGCTCTCGAGTAATATGTCTTCCCTACTCCTGGGAGGCATGCACTCCTGATATGTGGGGTACTCTGTCTTTCACTGATTCTTCAGAATGGGCATGGCCCCACCTGTCTGAGCAATGTGGCCCCCAAACCTCCCTGGCCAGCATGACCCCTTTCACAGTCCCTGTCTCTACCTGCCTCTATACTGTCACTGAATTCTCTGAGCTTCCAACTTGCCTTCAGAGCAATGGACTTATGTCAATCCAACTGCCTGGGACATGCCACAGCTCACTGAAGCCATCATCTGTCCTTCAGGCCCCCACCCCCTAGATTCCTTTTCATGGCCATGGAATCCCCACCCACCACTAAGAAAGTACCCTCTGCTCTTTCTGAGCCCACTTTTCCCTCAGCCTCAGTGTTCGTCCTCAACGTCTACTGACTCCACTTCTAAGCTCCCAAGAGACCTCACACACGCTTCCACTCTTCATCTCTCCCGTATGAGCCATTGCAGACCTCTCCCGGTGAGTCCCCACTATGAGGCTGGAAGCCCAAATGCAGAGCTGATCTTCTTACCCTGCTGATGACCCACCTACCTACAGCCCTCAGCGAGGGGTAGCATGGTACCCAAGGCTCTCCACATTGGCCTAGGCACAGGTTCCCAGCCACGGCCCGCAGCACTCCTCCCCACTGCCCGTGCCCAGCCACAGTGGGCAGCATCCAAGAGCATGCGCTTCAGCAACCTTTGGGTCTTTGCTACCCCTCTTCTGCCCCTCTCTTTCCCTCCCAAGCCCGGCAGCACCCCAGGCTGTGCTCTCCTCATCCTGGGAGCCTCTCAGCCATCACTCCTCCACTGCATGAGCCCTATTCAACCAAGACCCCAGAACAGGTCTGTGCTGTGTTTGCCTGACAACCCCAAGACTGAGGAGAGTTCCTGGTACACGGTAGGTGTCCTATATATGCCTGTTAATTCAAATGTGCTCACACTATTCCTGAGATAGAGCGGGGGGTGGGGGAGTGGGGAAAGTTCGAAGTGACAGACAGATTTGACATGGCAACCCTGTGAACCAGCTTGTCTCACACAGATCCAGGAAGGGGTGCCAGTCCCAGCTCTGCACAGAGGGACGGAAGAGCAGGTGTTCTAGCACGGGAATCAGGGAGGAGTAGGCCAGACTCCTTCTGAGGCAGCAGCAGAATCAGGGGCGGGAGTGGACTACAAATGGCCCTCTCACGGCCCCTCAGGCAGCCAAGACGGGGCCAGCCGCCTCCTGGCCTCACGGTCAGAGGGCAGGGCTGACAGCAAGCAGCCTTGCTGGCTCCAGCCATGTCTGGCTAGGTAGCCATGCTCCTCAGCTCCCCTCAGTGGAAAAGAAGGCAGAGAAGAAGGGAAGGGGGAGGGAGAGAGAGGGAGAAACCCCACCTCACTAACACTGCCCACCCCCACCCCACCCCTGACTGCCACCTGCCCACCTCCATCCCCACCCCTGACTGCCAAGGTCAGCATCTGATTGAGCAAAACTGAGAGGTCAGCATGTGATTGAACAAAACTGAGAGGGGCCGTAAACCTTTTTAAGATACAGGACACATTTGGGAGGGCAAAAAAAAAAATCAAAGATGGGACAATGCTGAGAGGCAGTTTATGCAGAAGGCAGAAGCAGTTGGAACCTGGTTCTCGCTGTTAGGAAACACTCAGAAATGGTGACTCTCAGCACTTCCACAGCATCTTTCATCTTCAAAGCCCTTTATAAGATTAATTAATTAGTGCATGACTAGGGCCCAGAGGCAGGCAAATGTTATTATGGGGGAGGGGAAAGACTTCTGTAAATTTCATGGCAGCAACCAAGAAGACCTCTGAAATTTCAGCCTTCCCCAGCCCAGCCCA